TTGAGTTTTATTTTTCCATATACTTTTTTGACAAACGACGTATTATCGGGAACGACGTAACTCGAAACGACGTAAAGTCGAGGTATACCTGTATATCTTCTTAATTCACATTCTAGTCTTTTTACTCCTATCAAGTATGTTTTATGTGATAATTTATCAGTTTTTCTCTTTATTCTTTTATCCAAAGTATGATTAAAAAGTTTCCGGACTGACTTAATATAAAAGTGTCTTACTTTACTTGCAACAACAATCACGTGTGATCAAATTTCTAGAAAATTAAATTTCCAGCATGCCTAGTAACATCATTTCGGCGATTTTCAATGGAAGATTTACACAAACAATTCATATGTTTGAAGTGTTGCTTACATTTGAAGGTATCGGCCAGTGAAAACTTTTCGATGATACAAAATGATTTGGAAAAGCTTCAATAAACAGAACGACAACATTTGATGGGTACAATATGTCTAAAGATTGCTGCAACTTCAGTCATACGTGATCCGAGATCTGGACACTCAAATACGATAATACATCTCGAAGCTGTTTAAAAATTCAAAATTTGATGTTTGTAAATCGGAGGATAAATATCAGAGAAGTTTCTGAAGAAATCAATGTGTCAAACGAATTGCATTCAATCGTTCATGAAGATCTTTCTTACAAAATAAGAGCAAGCAAGTTTGTTCCTTAGATATTAACTGAGGAGCAGAAGAAACAAGGTCAAATGGTTTGCAAACCATGAACCGAATGGCTGAAAATTGACAAAATGTGAGAAGATAATGTGTTTACTGCAGACATTTTGTTTACCATTTTGACACTACAATTTAATAATATCATTAAAGTTTGATGTGAAATCATCTCATAGGCAGAGCCGTAACTAGGCAGGTGCAACAGGTGCACCCGCACAGGGCCCACTTGGAAGGGGGCCCAAACTGCTGTTCACAAGAAATTATATTTCGAAATTTTAAATTTTTCTGCCTTTCTACAGCGCATTTTGGCGATTACATTTCGCCTTACTTAGACCCTAGTTGTCTGCTCATCAGTTTTCCCAACTGTGGCGACTTTTAGAGGGACATAGTGAGGTAGCGGAGACCACAGACAAATCAGCCAAAAGTAGCGACTTTTGAGAATTTTTTAATTTATTTTTTTGAGAAATTTAAATTTATGTTTATAGTTTTCAAATTTACAGATTTATCTCTACTTTATCCAGCTTTCTGGCAACTACTAATATTATTACGATAAACAAAATTGTATTTCTAGATTTTTCTGCAGTGTGCAGAGCTAGAAATCTGTAAACGTAACATTTTGTAACAAAAATAAATCTGCCCGAGGATTTTTTTTTAAAATTACTAAATTGAAAACGGTAACTCCCAAATAAAATCTTAGTCTCGAGGTTGTAAAAGGTGTGCGGAAATTCTGACATAATTTTTGCTTTATATGGTGTATACCTGAACGGCGGATTAAGCGGTAAGCGAACTATGCGGGCGCGTAGGGCCCCCGAAGGAGCTCCCGCAGTCTTTAAAATTTTTCTCTATTTGAGAAGATAATTTAAAATCTCTTCCTGCCAGGGGCGGATCTAGGTTTTTTGGGGCCTAGTGCTTATTGAAGTCCAATGGGGCCTCATTTTTTGTTAGATTAAGAATCTTTAAATTGGGGTTTAAAATTCATTTTTAATAACATCAAAATCAGAGTTGAAATATATTTATTTATGAAATGGTGTTGGATGATGATAACTGCTCATTGTTAATGAAAAGTATGATGATAATTTTTGTGGGTCCTTGACACATCCTTTTGTATAAGCCCTATTAGTCTCTATGTAGATCCGTCCCTGCTTCCTGCTAAAAATGCCTTATATGGTAAGTAGCTGATGTATTGCAAAGTTCAAATAATTTAATGTGATAGTGAAATTCTCTGTAGATTATCCAATAACTGTTTAGAAAACATAATCCAAAGATTTATTTATTTTATTATTCTACCTTTACTTGAAAATTATTTCATAATAATTTGAATATTATTAAAATTATTATAAAATGAATTTTAACAGTATAAATTAAAATAAAGCAAATGAGAATTGTAGTGACATCATGTCATAATCTGAAAAATGGTGATTGGTAATGTTGTTGCTGNGAAGGAGTATCTTGACATCCGAAAAATTATTTAAAATACAAATTTACAGTGTTCTTGACACTCTATTACGTCAAATAGATTAGCGTTATGAAAAAGTGAAAACTATATGTGATGATTTTTGCTTTCTCTGTGGCTCGTCTTTACAATGCATGAGTTTGCTGATTTAAAAAATTCGGCTAGATCTCGCTATTAAATATAGCAAAGATTTAAAAATGTACGAATTCACAAGTGAAATTGAAAGTTTTAATTTTGAAGTAACGACTGTTATACAAAATATAGAAACTGCATCCCGCTTAATATTCTACAGGCTCTTCATGATTTTGGTTTAATCGAGTCTTACCCAAATATCAATGTCGTTCTTCAAATATTTCTAACTCTTCCCGTTTCTATTGCTTCGTGCGAGAGAAGTTTTAGCAAGTTAATTAAACTTAATAAAAAAATATTTAAGATCAACTATCGGATAAGAACGATTATCCAATATTTCTATTTTTTCAATAGAATACAATGTTGTTAAAAATATTAATTATGATGGTGTAATTAATGAATTTGTTGAAATGAAAGCCAGAAAAATTCAATTAAAATAAATCTTATTAAAAATCTATTGTAATGTATTTGTTTTATTATTTTCCTGAAACCAATTAAATTAAGGGGCCTAAATGCAAATTCTTGCACAGGGCACAAGAATGGCTAGTTACGGCTCTGCTCATAGGTGGCATCTAAAATTTCCTAGTAGTAATTCAAACACAAATAATTATCGTATTTATCTTCAGGCACTTGGCAATACTTATCATCAAGTTTTATTCAGTTATTTGTGTTTGAATTACTACTAATAACTACAAGCACGGTTTCAAAAGTACCATACTAAAATTTCCTGCTAATTCAGAGAGACCTGAAATTGTCACATTTTCTACCTAATCTTTGCAGCATAAAAAGATAGATATGATTTTTTACAAGTTTGTGGTATGTCTAACTTACAAGTTTTTACAAGTCTAATCAAAATATTGTAATTATAATTTTTACGGTAGATTGCGAGTTATAAATGTCTAAGATTGCATAGGAAAGAAAACGAAAAGCCGTTTCGTTAGAAACAAAAATAAAAATCTTAGGATCACCTTGCGAGTGGTGAAGGTTCAACATCTGTGGGAAAAGTTTTGACTTTAACGAAGAAACTGTCAGAACAATTAATAGAATTCGAAATTCTATAAGAAAATTTATTATCTGAGGATCAAAACTTAACTCAAAAACATTATCTAATCTCTACTGTACGAAAAAATCTTAGAAAAAAATTGAAATTTTTTTGGTGCTTTAGATTGAAAATTTGGTGCAAAAGAGGTTACTTGTGATTCGAAATATTATTAAGCAAATGGCACTTCAAAATTGTAAAAAAACAACAGGAATATGAACCATCAACTAAGGTAAGCATGCAACTCAAGGTAAAACAAAAAGAAATTTTTTCCGGTGAAGGAATGCTGATAGGATTCTAAAATGAAATGCATTTCACAATATTAAAATTAAAGGGAAAATTGCATCTGCAGTGAAAACGTTGCCAAAAGCCTTCCAGAAAAACTAGACAAAATAATAATAGAGTGCGGCTGTGTTCCTGACCAGATTTTCAACGCTATCGAAACAGTGTACAATCGATCCCCCTATAACACTGTTGATAATTCCGTTTTATATGAATTCCATGTATAAGTCACATAGATTTTACAAATACGTGAGCCGTTCACAGCCCTGCACACGTATTTATAAAATCTAGGTGACTCGTACAACATGGAATTCATATAAAACGAAATTATCAACAGTGTTATAGGGGGTAGACTGTATAAACTGCAAGAAAATTTACGTTTCTCTTTTACACGGTTTTATGAATGAAATATAATTATTTATTTTATCTTATACGGCTTTTTATAACTTGAAACGTATCTTTTTGCACCATTTTTTGAGGAACGTATCTTCTGTATAAAAAAAAATTAAGTGTAATCGTTACCACCTCTAAGGCGAACAATAGAGATACAGGAGGATCTCTATTTAGTCCTGAGTAAGTCATCTCATTATGAGAAATTAAAAGTCGTACTTTTTTCTTTAATTCTCACCACAATAAGTGTAATGACACTTATATTCTCCAGTCACCATACCAGTATCGTGGGTTTCTCTGCTTGCAGGTCAAAACCTTCAAGTCACTCAAAAAATGATGTCAGATCATTCACAGTTTGCAGGATGGTGAATCGATTCTGAAATTCAAATTGAAAAGCAGCACACTAAATGTCATATTTCTCATAAACCACAAAAGAAAAGCAGACATTTCAGAGATTGTGGTAAACCAGGTCGAAAAATGTCAGTGTTGTGGATTTTCAACGCAAAATGGAGGAGTTTCGTGTATTAGTTTATGTAGTATTTGATCCAATAGGGCTAAATAGGGCTTAGTTTCTTATTGAAAGTATCTTTTTTGCATATGCCCATGTATTAAGTTGCCTTATTCCAACCGACCAGCATACAACCCATTCAGTTTTTTTACCCAAAAAATAACACTTTAGTACTTTCTGAGCCACCTATTCTCCAGATTTAGCCAAAAATAATTTTTTTCCTTTCTTCCCATAAAAGTAAAAGATCAGATATGAAATAGCTACAGGTGGATGCTATTTCGAAAACTATCAACGTAATTTCTTTTCTCGCTTGTATTAATAGTTATATGTACAGTCCGGCAACTTATTGGTCATTCCTTGTATTTTTATAACGTGAAAAGTGTAACTTTGTTAATAACTTTTTCCAGATAGACTTAATTGAAACTATATAATTGCTACATGATAATAAATTTTTATTTAGTTTGTTTTATTAAACCTTTATACGTCTGTGTGTATCTTAAATAGGCATTTGGAGCTGTAGAATCAATGTCAGATCGAATTTGTATTAAAAGTGGAGGAAAATTGCAAGTTGAACTTTCAGCTGAAGATCTACTGACTTGTTGTCATTCTTGTGGAAATGGGTAAAAACATGTAGAGATGCAATGTTGTTATTAACATTTGTTTTTTCTTTTTGAATTTAAGAAATACTAGAACTATTTGTATCACATTATCATATTAGCTGCTTTTATCACACTTGACACTATCATCTGAGTATCAAAACTTAGCTCAAAAACATTATTTAATCTCTACTGTACGATGGTACAGTGGAGATTAGAAAAAATCTTAGAAAAAAATTGAAATTTTTTTGGCCAGATGACCGACGGCCACCTTGACAGCTCGGTCATCTGTCAAGGTGGGCTGTCAAAGTAACAGCCCACTCCTCTGAAGGACCCGGGATCGAATTCAGACTGATAGAAAAAACCCAGGAATATTTCCGGGGTGGTCCGACCGTATATGTCGGTCTTCGTCCCTCACCATCAGACCGTTGTGGGTCTGGCCGAACTTAAAATGGGATTGCTGTAACAAGGAGGAAAGGGCAAAAAAAAACGTTCACTCATTTTTTAAACTCTATGCTGTGGGCAATACCTGGGTTGTTTAGCAATCCCGTTATGAGTTCGTACCAGACTTACAACAGAGCGGTCGGTAGTGAGAAAAGACCAACCGGACGGATCAACGCCCAAAAATTCTTGGGATAATTTGACCTGTCTGGATTTGTTCACGAGTCTCCAGATCGGTAAGCTTCTACTAAGAGATGGTTGGGCTATTCAATTAAACTAATAGAAGGACCAAACACTTGTCAAAATTTGTCCGAAAATTTCAAAAAAGAGAATTTTATTGCAGTATTCACTTTAAAACTCAGTCAAATACGTTGACATCTATATAATATTAATTAGTGTAAAAATGAATTTATTATATTAATATATATTTATTTATATTGGATTATTTATACTTATATGTTACGGCCAAAGCCCGAAGTTCGGCCAGTTCTCGAATTGGCTGGCCATTTCGCACTTTGGCCGAGAGGTGTGGCCAAGGTCCGATTTACTTGAAATGACCAGTGTACAGTACATGATACTTTGGCCGACCATTTCGAAGGGACTGGTAATTCCTGGCCAAGATTCGATGTGCTGATACAAGACTGTTCCGTAGGCAGCACATTTTTTGGTTCCAGTGTGATAGTGTTCTCAAACATTTGCGAGGTCGCCCAACCGCGCATAATGGCAGGATATTCGAGCAGTGCCAAAGCGTATGTGGAAGTGTTGATGACAGAGACAACTCTCTCCAGTTACAATCAATTTTCCCGATTTATTGTTTTTTGTTATGCTTACAAAAACAGTATTTTCTGTCGGAGAACGGGACGATGTGAATATGCGGATGACTGTAGAGTGGCTGGGCGGTTGGGCGGTTGAACAGTTGGTCAGTTGGACAACTGGACGTCTTGAGTTTGTGTCGAGAGATATGCATCGTTTAAACGTCAGAGAAACGGAAAATATTTTCACTGTGGAGTATGCCGCACAGTATGAAAATCCGGTGCAGAAGCTCCCCGTGTCATTTATAATTTATTTATGAATATGGTCCGGTTCACTTTCGGAGTCTCACACAACTGTATTCCAGAAGTAAATTTTCCATTCTGCACGAGAAACTGCTCACACTGGAATTCTTGGGCGCAAAAGAAATGTTACTACGAACCGTCGCATCTCTCCAATCACTGACAGGTGGCCAAGGTACACACGATGCAATTGCATTACTAAGTCATCAACAAATCGCTGTAAGTGCAAAAATAACAAACGGTGTGTAATTCGAAATGTCATAACAGTTTATCTTGTCGTAACAAGTGATGGTAGAGATTGATAATTTACTATGATTAATAAATAAACCTAGCACGTAATTGAATTTGATAGTTTATAATTAATAATCAATATAAAGTATGAAATTATACAGACCCACGAAAATCTGCTCATGACTTTTTCTTCCGACTTTGGCCGATCGCTTCATGCCATTTCGCAAACTGGCCGGCCATATCCCAAAATCAAGAAAAGATCAGACATTGGCCAGTCAATTTACAGTAACTTTGGCCAATTTCGAGCTTCAGTCATAACATATATATGATGAAGGAATAAGAGTTGCTTAATATTACATAATGTGATAATATTTAAATATAAATAATAACAACTCAAAGCCCGAGAAATATAGAATAAATCACCAAATGATTGCCTTAATATCGGGCTATAATATGGCTAATTAAATGATTAGTATAAAGTAATTTGACAATAGAGGTAGACGTTAGATGCCATCTCTTAAGTAAATTAATAATTATAAATAAATTATTAAATAAATTTAGAACCTTCTGGAATAAAAAAAACTGGCCCGGGACGGGGCTTGAACCCGCAACCTCTGCTTGCTGTGCGGTGCGCTTGCCAGTTACGCCACCCGGACCCCGAGCTACTCTTCGCTTTTGAACCCGCAACCTCCACTTGCCGAGCGGTGCGCTTGCCAGTCGCTCGGGGTCCGGGTCCGGGGTTGGGAAGAGAACAAATGCGGAAAGACGCAAGAATGTAGGTTGAGGTGGTTTGGTCACATAGAGCAAAGAAGTGACAACTATGTTAGAAAGAAGATTGGAAAACTGGTAGTAAAAGGAAAGAGGAAGAGGAAGACCAAAGATGGATTAGAAAGATAAGGTGGAAGAAGACTTGAATTACAGGGGACTTAAGAGAGAAAAAGCCCTTGATAGGGAGAAATGGAAAAAACATATTAGAGAAGGAAACGTTGACCCCATATAAACATGGGAAAAGATGAAGATAAAGAAGAAATATTACTAGAATATAAATAATGCAATGTATACCAAACTGCAGTTTGTAGATGATACATTTTGTTTGTCTTCCANTGTTTTCTGGAATGAAGGGAAATCCCAGAATATAAATAATTATTTTTAAGATATAAAATAAATCTCGAAATCGAATGATATACAAAAAAAGAGAAGACAGATGTTATGTGTTTATCACCTGTAACCTCGAAGATTTATTTCTAGTTCGTTTTCCTCATACGTTTTGGTACTTCATTTGCTGTCTAGTATTCTTGATTTGTCTACTTCGGCTTCTTTAATAGAAGAATTAATCTTATAGCCCGGTAATTCGGCAGTTCGTTTGGCTTTAATAATCAGGTTTATGAAGAAAACCTTCATATTTGCATACTTCCTACTGGTTTGGATTCTTGCTCAATTTGCACAACCTTTCATGATGCAGTAATTGAAGCTTCTGGGCATGGTTAAAAATTAAGACAGCATAAGCACATTTATTCAAGATATTACAAGTTCTGACAAGTAAAGAATCTTCTGAGTCTTGCCACAAATAGGCGACATTTTGATTATTGACAATCAGTGACATGCCATAACGAGCAGAAATTTAAAAAAGTAATAAGCAGAATTAAAATTAATAAATACAAATGTATTCTGACAGTTTATGAGTTAATTATACTTTCTATTTGCAAAATTTCCTCAACCTTAACACACACAAAAAAAGTGAACTTTTAAGAAATTTGTAGGATTTTCCGGGATAAGACGAATTTCCCGGATTAAAAGGCAGACGTGTTTCCGGGATTCCGTTAGAAAAACCCTATCCTTTGGCTATAAAATTTAATATATTTGTGCAATTGCATTTTTAAGTTTCTATATAATCGTGGAATTTGTTTTATCAGTTCTCCTAGATAAATACTAACTTATCAAGAAACGCAATTAAAATGTAAATAAATTTTGATATAAAATATACATTATATTTTATATATATTACAATATATATTTTATATCAAAAGTTATTTACATTTGAATTGCGTTTCTTGATAAGTTAGTATTTATCTAGGAGAACTGATAAAAGAAATTCCACGATTATATAGAAACTTAAAAATGCAATTGCACAAATATATTAAATTTTATAGCCAAAGGATAGGGTTTTTCTAACGGAATCCCGGAAACACGTCTGCCTTTTAATCCGGGAAATTCGTCTTATCCCGGAAAATCCTACAAATTTCTTAAAAGTTCACTTTTTTTGTGTGTGTTAAGGTTGAGGAAATTTTGCAAATAGAAAGTATAATTAACTCATAAACTGTCAGAATACATTTGTATTTATTAATTTTAATTCTGCTTATTACTTTTTTAAATTTCTGCTCGTTATGGCATGTCACTGATTGTCAATAATCAAAATGTCGCCTATTTGTGGCAAGACTCAGAAGATTCTTTACTTGTCAGAACTTGTAATATCTTGAATAAATGTGCTTATGCTGTCTTAATTTTTAACCATGCCCAGAAGCTTCAATTACTGCATCATGAAAGGTTGTGCAAATTGAGCAAGAATCCAAACCAGTAGGAAGTATGCAAATATGAAGGTTTTCTTCATAAACCTGATTATTAAAGCCAAACGAACTGCCGAATTACCGGGCTATAAGATTAATTCTTCTATTAAAGAAGCCGAAGTAGACAAATCAAGAATACTAGACAGCAAATGAAGTACCAAAACGTATGAGGAAAACGAACTAGAAATAAATCTTCGAGGTTACAGGTGATAAACACATAACATCTGTCTTCTCTTTTTTTGTATATCATTCGATTTCGAGATTTATTTTATATCTTAAAAATAATTATTTATATTCTGGGATTTCCCTTCATTCCAGAAAACAAATCACTTTTTTCTCCAAATCCCGGGACAAGCAAAGGATCGGGAAATTAGAAAACCTAATGTAAAATAAATTACATATAAAAAAGAACATTTTTAATTTTTTTTCCTTCTAATTAGTTGTGATGGAGGCCTTCCAGCTGCTGCTTGGGAGTATTGGGTATCTGATGGAATAGTAACTGGAGGATTATACAATAGTAATGAAGGTTGTCAACCATATCAAATTCCTTCTTGCGAGCATCATAATAAAAAAGGTCCACTTCCACCATGTTCAGGAGAAGGTCCAACTCCTCCCTGCGTTCGGTCCTGCCGTAAAGGATACAATGTTACTTATAATCAAGATAAATATTATGGTAAGTGGCTTTTATTTATACGTATAATAATTTACAGACGTATTATTTTTTATAAAAATTCTTTAACAATTATATTTTCATTAAAAATTCAATCTTTAAATTATTTGAATTCAGATTTGAAATAAAAACTTTTAAAATGTAAAATATTTCCGCATCTATTGTCTCTATCGTTATTGCCATTACAAATTGAGAGAGGGAGAAACGATACAATGAAATAAATTATAATACCTAAATGGATTAATTTTAATGGGTATTTTTTTCCAGGAAAATTGGTTTGTTTTTAGAAACATCAGTCATAAAATTCATTTTAATTACATCGAGTTGTCCTAAATTTTTCAAATTATATATTATCCATGATTTATTTAAATACTTTCAATGTTGTATTTTATTCTACATACTTTCGACTTTTTCTGTATTGCGGACACTAAAAATATCCTTTATTCTATGGTCATCATGAGTTCTGCCGAGGGCACGTTCTTTGACTTTATGTGACGTCAGACACTTCATTGGCGTTAAACTATGTAACGCAGACAATTCGATCGAAGAACTTTACCGTTAGTTTTGCGTAATGCTGATTGACTAATTAATACTGCTGAAACTGAACTACTAACACACACTGTAATAATTAATAAAACCTTTAATTTTCAAGAGGAATATATACTAACATTAGAACACTTGTAGCTCTGTGTGATAACATTTGTCTGAAGAACAGAAAAAAGAAAAGGCGGGAAAAAGACAAAAGGAAGCTCGAGAGGAAAACCAACCAGTGTTTCCACCAAACACCAGATCATGAAAATGTTTAGAAAAAATTTTTTCCGTATTTTTCAACAAGTACAATTGAGCATGCACATTGCAAGACGATGCCTTTCATTTATTCATGATGCTACTTTGTTCCAAACGGCGTATACTGCACACGAAAAATATGCCTTCCGCAGAACGTTTAGCTCTTTTATTAGAGAACTGCGTTTGTACATCTTGCTGGAAGGTTGATTCTGCTAACATGTTCAGATGTGACAAATGAACTTGATTTTAAAAACAATTTTTGGTACATCATTCTGCACAATATTTGTATTTGTAAAATCTAAGTGACTCGTACAACATGGAATTCATATAAAACGGAATAATCAACAGTGTTATTGGGGGTGTCGACTGTATTCTTTTCATGTACGTTTTTATGATTTACTCTATTTACTTAGTGCTATGAAAATGGTATTAAAAATTTCTAAAATGCAAGCAGTTGAAACAAGGATTTTTCTTTAAATGATTGAACGTAAGATTACACTTACGATTAGACTTAACCTAGCGAATTAGCGAGAAGACCACAATTATGACGAATTTTCACTAATTCGCTAAATTAAATTTTTAAATATTTTTTTTCAAAGATTTTTTATATAATTATATAATTTCACAACCTTCGCTCACTTTAGTCCGTTAGGCGCCATCTTGGTTATTAAGTAATTTTTATACTGTATACTTATAGAAATAATATAAATTAATTAATATTAATTACTTTTTACTCAATAAATTTAAAATAACGGTAAATTTTCCAGGTAAATCTTCATACAGTATTTCGATCGACGTGAAACAAATTCAAACTGAAATTATGAAAAATGGACCCGTAGAAGCAGATTTTACAGTTTATGCCGATTTTGTATCTTACAAATCAGGTTAATAAATTAATGCAAATTTCACATAAAATATAATCGATATGTAATCCATTTTAATGTCGGAATTTAGGTGTTTATCAGCATCATAGTGGCGATGTACTTGGCGGTCACGCCATTAGAATTTTAGGTTGGGGAGTGGAAAATGGTGTTCCTTATTGGCTTGTAGCAAATTCCTGGAACCCTGATTGGGGCGATAAAGGTATATTTTCAATATTAAAATTAAGCATGTAGATATTTCTTTACTATTTTTTAACGGGTGTGTATTTGATGCTTATTTTATTTTATTTTTCTTAAAATACTTGTAAAATATCGTAATTAATAGATTTACTGTGGTTATTAAGCGTTTGTAACGTGTTAATTTTAAGATTTGATATTTTATAATATTAGCAAAAATGGTAAATTTTATTTTTATTTTAAAGGTTACTTCAAAATTATTCGTGGACAGAACGAATGCGGAATTGAAAGTGATATTAACGCTGGACTTCCTAAACTGTAAATAATATAAAATATATTTTTGTATATGAAATAAATGTTTATGTAAAATGCAATTTGAGTAAAACGTATAATTGTGAGAATTCTTTAAAGGTTGCCGTTCTTCTATTGTAAACATATCAAAAATTCGACTGTTGTAAGTTAATACAGGATAATGGCGCAAGTATATATTATTGTAACAAGCATTACAGCAGTGTCTCTCATAACAGTTACTTTTCGTTTGTCCATGAAAATGACATTTATGCTTGCATCATAATACGGCAGAGAAATAAAATAAATAAATTATTCACTTATTCTACATAGAAGTTATGCGTCAATGATAAACGCGTAAATATGTGCTCCAACCCTACAAGTCCCAGACAATTGCCTACATATTACATAACTACTTACAATTTACAATTAAATAGGTACTAAACATAAACCACACTCATAGCCAGCAGAATTAAATAAATAAAAATTTTAAACTAACATTTTAATATTCGCTGAGAGATTTTTAATGTAACAAACGTTTTCGATCCATTCAATAAATCAGTGTTTTTCAACCTTCTTGAATACGCCACCCCTTTACAAGTTAAAAAAAATTCTGGCGACCCCCAGGGCCATATTAAAACTATATCAGTGATTTTAAAAACTACATATTTAATTTTCTTTCTGTTGAGATCTAAATATCGATCGAAAAACTAATTGTACTTTAAAATAAAAACGCAAAGCCTTCTCACTGAAATTGTAGTTTTATTTATTGTAGTGTAGGACCTACAAACACTTGTCTTTTTCTTTTACCCGCGACCCCCAGTGTAAGTCTTTGCGACCCCCTAGGGGTCGAGACCCACAGGTTGAAAAACAATGCAATAGATCATCTTCAGGTTAAAAAGAATATTTCTTAAATGGAACAACAATTTCAAAATTCAAAAATATTAATAACCAATAACATTAATTGATAAATAACATTAATAAGAGTAACTAAAACATTATAAATGATACAAAAATGTAAAATAAATAACATATTACTCATATCAATAATTAATACTATCTATTTTATCTAGATATAATTCTCTTTAAAATATACTAGCGTTCATGTGCCTGTTGTAAGTTTTTAACGGCATATTTCCAAGCCGATGGAAGACTCTCTGCGTCCCTTGCATTAATGCATTTTTCTTTTAGCTTGTTTCTGTAAATTTCTATCTTTTCAGCTGTTCTTGCCAAAGTTGGAGAGTGTATCTGTCTTAGGATTTCCGCTTCATTCCATCAACCAAGGATCTTTCCGCTTGTGCCATCTGAACTAATACTGTTGTATTAGACCTTTTCTAATGTCATACTTGTGTTCTTTGATCCTTATACCTAGGTTTCTATTAGTAACCCCTACGTAATCTTTATTTATACCTATTAGCTGGTTCTCGTAGGGAATCTTATACACACCCGCCTTATCTTCTTTTTTAACTAACGCTTTATCGTTTCTAAGTATTTTATACAAATTCGGGGCTCTTTTTAAGATCACCTTTGTATCCTTTTTATTTGCGATTTCTTTCATAATCCCTCCTAAATACTTGTTGTATGTAAATTTCGTGTACCTAAATGGACCTTGTCTAGTGACTTTATCATTACTGGCCTCAAATTTTCTAATAATTCCCTCGATAACATTCCTCTTATAACCTAATGTTCCTGCTATCTGTATAATTCTTTCTATCTCTGTATCCCGGTCTATAACGTTTTCGCAGTATATAAAAGCCCTTCTAATCAATGCTCGAAATGCTGTTAACTGATATCTATAAGGGTCATTAGAGCTTGCAGGGATATATAGTGGGCTATGCGTTGGTTTAATGAATACGCTAGTGGATATACGCCCTTTGTTAAATATGATATTAATGTCTAAGAGTTTACTGATATGATTTTATGATAGTTCTGTATAGTTGACAAAAGTTTTAAAAAATCCATTAAAATATTTGATATTTTTATTCCGCTCTGTGATTTTATATTACTCACGAATTTCGATGTTAAAACAGTGATATTATGATTTCGTATGTCCCATCTTTAAGGGGATGTAGGAAAAAACGTGTACAATTCTTGTACAATATTAAAAAATTAACTGTTAGTTTTACAGCGTCATTTACAACTAAATTTAATAAATGAGAGATGCACGAGGTACAGAAAAGCTCTATTTATTTTCCTTAAAGTTACGATTTATGTATCCGTTTGTCATAAAAATTTGTCTTTCCATTTTTTCCCGAAACTACAAATATTCGAGTACAAAGTAACCGGTTTCGACTTATTTCTACTTAAGTAGTAAAATAATTAAGCGATTAGGGAATTGGGGACATAAATAAAACCCTGAAGAAAGAGCCGGAATTTTACTTAAATAAAAGCTTTACCGAACCAATATCTAGCCGAATACAGTAGAAACTGGTTTCTTCGTAATTTTAGACGTAATAAAAAAAGAAATTTTTTCAGTTCAATGAGAGTGACCGAAAAGTTGTAAATTTCCGTGGACACCTGGTTCTAAATCGAATTAGTTAGAAAACAAATGACTATTAAGTTTAACATATTTAGATTTTTACAGCTATAGTGAGAAACGTTTAAAATTTACACAGCCCTGTCGCGTCCTTTGAGATATGCTAGTGACACCACAAAAGAGGCATTTGACATTAACCGGTATCGGCACCCTCGGGATTTGGCATGCATGCACGCACTGCACACCTACCAAGACCGTCTCTAATTCCAACCACGAGCCACTGGTAGGGAGCAATTTTAACTAAGTGGATTGTTTTAATATTTAAAAAGTAAAGAAAATTTTATGTTACGTTTCTTCACAAAACTGTATTTAATTATAATTTTCTTTAAAAGTATATTCATACAATCGAATATTTTGTACAAGTATGTATATTGCATATCCATCGCACATTTTATTTTAACAAGTAAGTTTTCATAATTTTATGTTTAATTTTAGCCCTGATATTATGGCTAGCGATTTACAATGTAATTTCGATATTGAAAATTTATTTTTAAAGTTTTGGTTCGAGACCATATAGTCAAAAAGAAAACATTATTAGAAGAGAAAGATCAATGCCTAAATTAAATATAAATACTGATTTAGTGAATGTCTCTTCAATCCGAAAAATTGTTTCTGGTAGACTACCTCACAGCCAATTCAGGTTATAAACTCCTATTATTGTTATTTACAGATGCATTTCGACCTAGGGCGTAAAAAAATTTGTTGTATTCTAAATTGTTTTTTAAAAGGCTTTTTAAAAAAGTTGTACAAACGTATACTGTCAACCTTTGGAAGATAATATGCTTTTAATTGAAAAAAATCTCACTGAGGAAGAGCTAGTAAATTAATCTAGCTCGAAATGCATCTGTAAAGAACAATAAAAGGAATTTATAACCTGAATTGGCTGTGAGGTAGTCTACTGGAAAGAATTTTTCGGATTGAAGAGACATTCACTAAATCAACATTAAAAACAGCTAAACCATCGGAAATTTCAGAATATATATAAATACGTCAACAAGAAATTTGTTCGACATTTTCACGATAAAATTTATGCAGATATAAAATGGCTTTGTGGATGTATAAAAATGCAAAAATTGTTTTGTTGGCCTTGCCTACTATTTTCAAATAAAATTAGTGTGTGGAATGAGATTGGCTTTGACGATTTAAATAATTTGAGTAAAGCTGGCAAAAGACACGAAAATCCTAAATCTCGCATCGATTCTTTCGTAAAATTGAAGCAATTTGGAAATCAAAATAGAA